GAACGTTAATTTCCTGGTTAAGGGAAATAACTTTCTTACTGTACAATTCTACAAAGAGCTTGTAGCATAAATCTGCATGATTAAGTGACTCCAGTTATGAGCAAACAATGAACAACGTCAAATGTGATACAAATAAGACTTTATTAACTACATAAACACTTAAACTAGTCTAAAATACTACATAAACACTTAAACTGTTCCAACATACACATACACATACACATACACGTACACACACACACACACACACACACACACACACACAAACAGAGAGAGAGATACTTCCTGTTGTTTAATGGTAACGGTAAATGGTAAGTAATAAACAAAGAGACCATTGAATGCTAAGAGAGTCATTAATGAATTCTCCTGTGTGTGAGCCAATGGAGCTTCTTTCTTTCTTTCTTTCTTTCTTTCTTGCTTCTTTCTTTCTTGTTTGTTTGTTTGTTTGCTTTCTTTCTTTTTTTTTTTTGCTTATTTTCTTTCTCCATCACAGATCCACACATATAAACTAATATTTAAAAGTGTTATTTTGCTAAGAGAGTCATTAATGAATTCTCCTGTGTGTGAGCCAATGGAGCTTCTTTCTTTCTTTCTTTCTTTCTTTCTTGCTTCTTTCTTTCTTGTTTGTTTGTTTGTTTGCTTTCTTTCTTTTTTTTTTTTGCTTATTTTCTTTCTCCATCACAGATCCACACACACATACACACACACAGAGATATACTTACTGTTGTTTAATGGTAACGGTAAATGGTAAGTAATAAACAAAGAGACCATTGAATGCTAAGAGAGTCATTAATGAAGTCTCCTGTGTGTGAGCCAATGGAGCTTTTCTTTCTTTCTTTCTTTCTTTCTTTCTTTCTTTCTTTCTTCTTTCTTTCTTGTTTGTTTGTTTGTTTGCTTTCTTTCTTTTTTTTTTTTGCTTTTTTTCTTTCTCCATCACAGATCCACACATATAAACTCATATTTAAAAGTGTTATTTCTCAGATGTTGCTCCTTCAAAATACTTTTGTCAACTTAATGGAGATTCCAGTTGCATTTAATTATCAACTTTATTTCAAATGTTTTATAAAAACACTTATTCACTATTAACTACGACTTTTCCCTCAATAAATTCCTAATTTATTATTAATTATTAATAGTTAGTAAGGTAGTTGTTAAGTTTAGGTATTGGGTAGGATTAGAGATTTAGAATAAGGTCATGCAGAATAAGGCATTAATAGGTGCTTAATTAGTACTAATAAATGGCTAATATTCTAGTAATATGCATGCTAATAAGCAACTAGTTAAAGGTGGGGTAAGTGATTTCTGGTAGCCAATGTTGACATTTGAAATCACCAAAGCAAACACGCCCCTACCCCAAAAGGGTCTCGCCCCTAT